TTCTCTAGGCAAGAACACTGGAGTGGGTTGTCATTCCCTTCTCCAGGAGATCTTACTGACCCAGGGATGAAATAGTGTCTCTTGGGTCTCCTGCAAGTTCTTTACCACTAGCACCTCCTGGGAGGCCCAATGAGACTCAACTACTGAATTTTTAACAACACTTTGGAAAAGAAAGCTCTCTTGCCACTTATTCAGTAAATCAACCCTGAATATTCGTTGGAAGGACTGATGCTGAAGCTCCAATACTTTGACCACCTGATATGAAGAACTGACTCATTGGAAAAGACCCTGATGCTGGGAAAGATTGAAAGCAGGAGGAGAAGGGGGTAACAGAATATGAGATGGTTGGTTGGCATCCCCGACGCAGAGGACACGAGTTTGAGCAAGCTCTAGGAGATGGTGAAGGACAGGGAAGCCTGGCATGCTTGTAGTCCATGGGGTTGTTGGACACGAACAACGTGCCACTTAAATCACCAGCTGTGAGAAGTACCAGAGGCGACCACATCGAATACGTAATGCTAAGTGAAGGAAACACAGCAGAGCAGAGCCAAGAGACAGTGATCAAGAACAAGATGGGCAAGAGGGAAACCTGTTTCCTGCCTTCCTGAAATGAGAGCTACCTCTGAGCTTTAGTCTCATCACCTTTTTGCTTATACCTAACAAGTTCGGTTTGCCATTTGCAACAGAGACAAACAGTACCATGCAGTAGTGATGCAGGCTCTTGAAATGCAGAAATGAAAGTGTGGATCTTGGTTCAGTCACTTTCTAGTTATGAGACCTGAAGCAAGTTACGTAATCTGTCTAAATTGCAGGTTTCTTATCTACACTATCTGGTGCTGGGATCAGTGAGTCAATAGTCTCTCCAAAGCACTTGTTAGAGTTACTGACATGTAATTCATGTCCAACAAATGTGAGTTACAATTCTTAACAAACGAACTATAATAAAAGCAACCCAATGCCTGCTATTACAAGATTAAAGCTACTACAATATTATTTCATTTTCACTAAGCTTCCCAGGTGGCACTAGTGGTAAAAAACCGGCCTGCCAGCTCAGGAGCCACAAGAGACACAAGTTTGATCTCTGGGTCGGGAAGATCACCTGGAGGAAGACATGGTAACTCACTCCAGTATTCTTACCTGGAAAATCCCATGGACAGAGGAGCCTGGAGGGCTACAGCCCACAGGGTCACATAGAATCGGACATGACTAATGACTTAGCACAGCACACAAGCTTCACTAGTACATAAGGGAAATCTGACTTTCAAATAGCATATCACAAGGAAGCATAGAAACAGACCTGAACATCATTTTTATCATATCTTCTCTTGTTTCTAAAGAGTTTTAAATAACACAGGAAAAAATGCTTGCAGTAGCATACTTAAGAGACTGACTAAAGACTGCTATAGTATAGCCCATGCTCTATTTGGCAACTATATCCAAAAGAAAAAAGCAAGACGAAATCTTTAAACCTGTGCATCAGAAGTCCTGGGAGAAACTTCAATAAAACAAGAGAATGAGATAGATACCACATGATATTTAGACTTCTCTTCTACATTTCTCTATTGTCCCCGTGTTTGTCAAAGAACATTAACGGTACTTCTGTTTGGAAGGTTTCACTGTCTACATGTTCCACAATCACATCATTAGGCTTTTAGAATGTTGGCTTAAGAATTGGAGAATCACAGAGTATTAGAGGTGAAACAAACAATAGAGACCATTTTTATCCAATTCTTTCATCTTACAAAAGGGAAAAACTTGTCAAAGATCAAATAGCTAGACACTGGCACCATTGAAATTATAGTCTAACATTCCTACTGATTCAGAAAACTCCTTGAGAGAGACAATATTGTTTGGACCACATCACCTAGGTTAATTCTACTAATCTTGTAAGGACTTCTTTAAGTATCATTTCCTCCAAAAACCTTTCCCTGGGCATCAACTAGAAGACATTCTCCCAACTTTCAATTCCCAGAGCACCTGATATTTTTACTTTTATTGTTATTATTATTCCACAGATGTGTGTGTCTTCTTTATTAGTCAATAAATTCCTTGAAAGAGGATTTGCATCTTTTTCATATCTGTGCCTTGAGCATGTGACACCATGCTTTGGTACATTGTAACCACTTGATAAATGGTTACTGTAAAACAGGCTATCCTGTTGCCTAGGACCTACTGAATCTAACTGGCTTAGTTTGGAAATAGGACTAAATTGCATAGACAAACTTATCACCATAGGATCCTTCCTGAGTAGTAGAAAGATAGTATTCCTGGCCCCACTGCAATTGGAAGACATGTAATTCATGTCCAACAAATGTGAGTTACAATTCTTAACAAACGAACTATAATAAAAGCAACCCAATGCCTGCTATTACAAGATTAAAGCTACTACAATATTATTTCATTTTCACTAAGCTTCCCAGGTGGCACTAGTGGTAAAAAACCGGCCTGCCAGCTCAGGAGCCACAAGAGACACAAGTTTGATCTCTGGGTCGGGAAGATCACCTGGAGGAAGACATGGTAACTCACTCCAGTATTCTTACCTGGAAAATCCCATGGACAGAGGAGCCTGGAGGGCTACAGCCCACAGGGTCACATAGAATCGGACATGACTAATGACTTAGCACAGCACACAAGCTTCACTAGTACATAAGGGAAATCTGACTTTCAAATAGCATATCACAAGGAAGCATAGAAACAGACCTGAACATCATTTTTATCATATCTTCTCTTGTTTCTAAAGAGTTTTAAATAACACAGGAAAAAATGCTTGCAGTAGCATACTTAAGAGACTGACTAAAGACTGCTATAGTATAGCCCATGCTCTATTTGGCAACTATATCCAAAAGAAAAAAGCAAGACGAAATCTTTAAACCTGTGCATCAGAAGTCCTGGGAGAAACTTCAATAAAACAAGAGAATGAGATAGATACCACATGATATTTAGACTTCTCTTCTACATTTCTCTATTGTCCCCGTGTTTGTCAAAGAACATTAACGGTACTTCTGTTTGGAAGGTTTCACTGTCTACATGTTCCACAATCACATCATTAGGCTTTTAGAATGTTGGCTTAAGAATTGGAGAATCACAGAGTATTAGAGGTGAAACAAACAATAGAGACCATTTTTATCCAATTCTTTCATCTTACAAAAGGGAAAAACTTGTCAAAGATCAAATAGCTAGACACTGGCACCATTGAAATTATAGTCTAACATTCCTACTGATTCAGAAAACTCCTTGAGAGAGACAATATTGTTTGGACCACATCACCTAGGTTAATTCTACTAATCTTGTAAGGACTTCTTTAAGTATCATTTCCTCCAAAAACCTTTCCCTGGGCATCAACTAGAAGACATTCTCCCAACTTTCAATTCCCAGAGCACCTGATATTTTTACTTTTATTGTTATTATTATTCCACAGATGTGTGTGTCTTCTTTATTAGTCAATAAATTCCTTGAAAGAGGATTTGCATCTTTTTCATATCTGTGCCTTGAGCATGTGACACCATGCTTTGGTACATTGTAACCACTTGATAAATGGTTACTGTAAAACAGGCTATCCTGTTGCCTAGGACCTACTGAATCTAACTGGCTTAGTTTGGAAATAGGACTAAATTGCATAGACAAACTTATCACCATAGGATCCTTCCTGAGTAGTAGAAAGATAGTATTCCTGGCCCCACTGCAATTGGAAGGGACTATATGACTAGTTTTGGCCAGAAAACAGTAAGGAGAAGTGATATGTGTCACTCCCATGCTGGCACAGTGAATAACCCTTGTGAGATCCTTCAGTTATATGTCCCCTTATCTCAGCATCCCAGAAGCCACATGCTAAGAAGAAGGGGCCATAAAAGGAAGCAGTCATCACATGGAGGGGAGCTACACTTCAGAGTCACTGGGGCTTATTTAGATCAGGCTTTGTGAGTAAGAAAGATGTCTTTGTTACAAGTCACCAAGATCCCAGGGTTACTTTCTTGTTGTTGTATAGTCCAGCTGATACTAGATAATAGCCAGACTAAAACACAGATCTTGTAACAGGGAATTTTGATGGTAATTCATTATTTATTTATTTATTCCTAACAGAATCTTGGGTAATATGCCTAAACTGAAAAATTACATTCTATTACTTTATAGTGCACTATGTTACATACTAGCTACTTAGTGGCCAACAGGATATGTACTCAGTCACTTAGGCATGGCCAACTCTTTGCAATCCTGTGGACTGTAGCCTGTCAGGCTTCTCTCTCGGGAATTTTCCAGTCAAGAATACTGGAGTGGGTTGTCATTTCCTTCTCCAAACAGGATATAAGTAAAAGCTATTAATGTGTTTTTCAAGAAGTCTTCCCTTTTATTTCCTGATAAGAATTCATATGTAATGACTGGAGCTTCAGCAGCCTTCTAAAATCATGAGGAGTCTTTGACAGTAAAAGTCACAAAATAAGGGTGGTGGGGCAGAAAGACAGAATGAGCCTGGATTCCTGATGGTACCTGTAGAGTTACAGTATTAAGCAATGACTGCCTTACCTCTGTGTTCTTATTTAAGAGAATTAAACCCTGAGGCTTCCCTGGTGACTCAGTGGTGAAGAATCCATCTGCCAATGCAGGAGACCTGGGTTCCATCTCTGGTCAGGGAAGATCCCAGATACAGAGGAGCAACTAAACCCACTGAGCCTGTGCTTTAGAACCCAGGAACCATGAGCCCTGAGCCCATATGCCACAACTGCCAAAGTCTGTGCCTAAAACCCATGCTCCACAATGAGAGAAGCCACCACAATGAGAAGCCTGCGTACGCAACAATGAGTATCCCCCACTTGCCACAACAAGAGAAAAGCCCTCACAGCAATGAAGACGCAGCACAGCCAAAAATAAGTAAATGATTTCTTTTTAAAAAAAGAGAGAATTAAACCCTCATGTTCTTAAGCACTGTAGCTAAATCTTTGTTACTAGCAAACAAATGTAACTCTTAATTGGTACAGCCCTTATGTCACATATCTAAACTATTAATAGTACCCTTGTGCTGAAGAGTAAGAAAGAAGGTAGCAAAGAGCACTATTTAACACCTAACCAAGTTGGGGAAGAATGGTATTCTATTCCATTTTGCTTTGATCTTCTGAGGAACTGAAAAAAAAAAAAAAAAGAAAAAGAGCTCTCATTAAATCATATCTTTTTAAAAAATACTTTTTTCACATTAGCAAATTCTGAAGGAAGCATAACCAAAATTACATTTTCCCGACATATTCATAAGTCTCTTAACTGTGAAAACATATGAAGGATGAGGTTTAGTCCATTTTAAAATGAAAAAAAAAGTTAAAGTAAAAGTGATTTGATATTTCACATTATTAAGAAAAAATTTAAATAGGAGGCCTTCTTCTAGGGGAAGCTGAATTTTGAGAGAGTAGAAGAATTTAAATGTTGGAGATTTTAAAAGCTGTTTTGGTGAAACATTTTTTATTCTTCTTACCACTGGTGATTCTCTCAGGGACTCGTCCACCTTTAATAAAGCTTCATTATGTATGTGTCTGCTATTACTATAACAAGAACTGACATAAAAATTACAACTGACTCCAAAGAAAAGACTTAATATTCAGGATCACCAAGAGCTTCTTCTTTTCTGCTTTTCTTCCTGGACCAAAACGTTGGCTCACTTCATCTCAGCTACATATGCTTCTCAAAATCTGGATTTTTATAAAACAAAACAAAAACAATTTTTTTTTTAAAGATGCAACCAATATCCCCATCAAGTTTGCATAATCAAATTGACACTAAAAAAAAAGCATAAAAATCTGTCCCTCTGTTAATGGATACAAACTCCATCTTTCTAAGTTATGTGATTCTGCTTTTTATAAGACTAGGAGAGGGCACTCTCATGGCTCAGTGGTAAAGAATCTGCCTGCCAATGAAGGAGACATGGGTTTGATTCCTGGTCCTGGAAGATCCCACACGCCGCAGGGCAACTAGAGCCATGGGCAACAACCCTTAGGTTTATGCCCTAGAGCCTAGGAGCTGCAACTACTGAACCCTGCACTCCCAGAGTCTGCGCTCCACAGTGAGAAGCCTATGAATCGCAACTAGAGAGTATCCCCCACTCGCCATAACTAGAGAAAAGCCCATGAAGCAAAGAAAACCCAGCACAGCCAAAAATAAATGAATAAATAAATAAAATTTTAAACAGACTAGGAGACTCTTTTCACCCTTCATGGTCAATGGGGAGTCTGAAATGGCAAGTACTTCCAACATCAGGCATTTCAGGCCACCTGAACTAGTGACAACTATAAACACAGGGCAAAGAACATGTGCCCAAAAGAAAAGATTTCATGATATTCCATGAAATACAGCAGAGCAGAATATTCCTTCCCAGTGTGAAATTTCTCAGGAAGTCTTTCACCCATCAGTTTTCCTAGAAAACATTTTAATGAGTTGCCCTTTCATACCCTTTCTTCCCAGTTGTCCAGCACTGGGCTTTCAGGATAGAATGGGAGTATGACAAGGCAGCAGTTATTTTAAATCTGAATGTGACAAAGCATCTTTTCAGTGGGAAAACCACATTGTTTCTAAAATAATCCTCATTTCAATGCAAAGCTTCTTAAACCACAAAGATTATGAGTCCCAGCATTCACCTGAATATTGTAAAGTTGAAGGTATCCTTACTAGTTTTTATACCCATCCCTGGATTGCATAGAAGTGTTAAAAGTCAAGAATAAAAACAGAAAAGCAAAAATTCCTCTGACTACCACTGCTATCAGCTGTGTAAAATCAGGCAAGTTATTAAATCTCTCTTAGCCTCCATTTCTTCACATGTAAAATGAAAGTGATAGTCCCTACCTTAATGGTTACTGTGAGGGTTGAAGAAGATGTGGATAAAGCACTTAACACAATGCCCAATGCATAGTAAGCACTCAATAAACATTAGATATTGCTAAAGTATTCCTCTTTAGCTGACAGAACTCTGGGAAGAATCACTGAAGGACAAATTCAGAAATTCTTGGAATTATTGCCAGATGCAGAGATGAACTAGGCCTCTGTGGGTTTTGGCCATTCTGAGCAGCAGCACTTGGTCCAAGTGGGTAAGCCAGGCACACAGCCTGCAGATCTGGGCTCTAAGATCCACCCACAGGAATTTTAAACTACATTTGGCAAACGGATGCCTATTTTGCGTCTCCATCTACCATGCCGCCCAGAGTGACTAAATCCTTTACAATAAACTGTTCCAGATTGCAACCTTTTTTCCCCCCACTAGACATGCATAAAAATGAATCCATATGTGTATGTGAAGTAGCAGTTCCAAAAATAATGGTGGCTTTAAATACTGTGGGATTATAGGAGAGAGGAAATGGTCCTGAAGGAGGATGGTTAGGAAAGACTTCATTAAGAAAATGGATTTGATCTGGGTTTTGAAGGATGAGTAGGAGTTAGATATGTGGAGTGGAGAGAGAGGTGACCTTGAGTAGGGTAGAGCATGATAAAGTTACAGAGGTAGCCGTGAGCAGGTGGGAACAGTGGGCAATGACCAGAGCTGAGAGGCTGTGTAGAGAAATGTAGGGATGGAACAGGAGGCCAGCTTGTCCTGATATAAAGAACTGAGGATCACTGAATAAGAAAGGGACCTGACAGAGTCATATTCATCTCTGTGTCACGGAAGAGTGCCTGGCAGAGACCAGTGTCCAATAACTACCTGAGTGAATCAGTGGATGCATGTATGAAATACAATGGCATTTTGAAAAGATTTACTTGGCTGAATACATTAGAGGAGGAAGTTGAATCTTGAAGACTAAGGAGGAAGTTCCTGCAGATCAGAACCTGAGGTGATAAAACGCTGAACTAGAAGACAGTGGCCACGAAGAAGAGCTAGGGATCATCAGGAGAAACGTGATGAAAGAAGAATTTCAAGGACCTGGAGATTGGCTGCATAGTGGAAGGAAGGTGAATTGAGGTTTGGAGTGCTTGAGGTTTGGAGACTGAGTCATTGGCTAAAATGGCCAGATACTCAATATCATAAGAAACAAGGGTAAGGGTGAGCAGGGGAAGGTGCAAGTCCAGTTTTGAGTATTTAAGGTGATGCGAGGATGACCAAGTGCTCTCGTCTTGTCCTCATCGGGAGATGCGAGTCTAGAAATGAGTTAGCAGAGCCAAAGTCCTCCTTAAGAAGACATTGCATTGAATTCTTTTTCTTTGGACTAACACACTAAAATTATGCTAAGCTCTTCATACAGTATTTTACGAAAACTGAGATTCTGAAAACAAGATTTTACAGCTGATATCACGCTGCTCCTCTATGTAAAAGCATTCACATGGGCTGGTGTAGAGCCTTGTGCTTCAAAAACAGCTGCATCAGGATGGCCTGGGCATGGGGTTCCAGGATCTGCGTTCTAATTTGCCCCTCAGGTCATTCTGATACTTGCTGGAGTCTCAGAACCACTAACAGGGGGAAAGGAAGCTTCTAGATAGCCTACCTTCACTGGTTTTGACCCAGTCCAGTAGAAAAGAACCTAGGGTAAGTGGTTACATGTGAGAACCCTGGAGTTGGACTGGCTCAGTTCAAATCCATCTCTTACTAACTGCCTTTGCTTGGGCAAGTCGTTTCACTTCTAAGGCGTTGAATGTCTCCAATACTCCCCGATTTAAAATAAAGGAATAATAATTGTACCACCTCATTGGGTTCCTATGAGGATTATGGGCATTAACATAACATAGAACTGTTTTCCCACTTTGTCACTATGACAGTGGGTGGGATAATTCTTTGCTGTGGGGCTAACCCGTGCATGCAGGACATTTCACAGCCTCCTGGACCTCCACCCACTAGATGCCAATAGATCCCCCTCTCACTAGTGACAATCAAAAATGTTCCCAGATATTGCCAAATGTTCTCTAGAGAGAAAAATCACCCTGGGTTAAGAACCACCACCAACATAAAACTGTACTATCTCCTGAGCATTTGCTCAAAATGATGTTGATATTTGATGAAACGTCCACTGACTCCGTAATTCTCCCAAAAACCCAGTGAAGTTAGGTATCATCTCCAGCTTTATAAGGGTCCAGAGGGATGGACACTTGCCTAAATCACTCAGCCATCGAATCATGGGGAGGAGCTCCAATCAAGGGCAGCGTGGTGGTCAGTCCCCACCTCTTTCTGAGCTTCTAGATAACTGGGCCTTTACAAGGCTGCAGATGGGGAAACTGCCCCCATCACACTTTTGTCTAAGGCAAGAGAGAAGTTGCAATCACTAGCCTTCTGTACCTATGCATCACTGGAACGCACTTCCCTCCTACCTTGAATCCTGAAAGGCTGTCTTCTGTGAGTTTCGCCCTACGTCAATCAAGGGGTTAACTCCCGTTCACAGGAACTAACACCTCCCACTCACCTCGCTGTCTGGGTTAGAGCCCTGTTCTGTACCTCCATCTGTCACAGAAGTCACAGACCATCACTGCCCTCCCAGTCCTTCTTGTTTCTTATCAGTGTACCCTCCCAGGACTCGACGCTTCACACTTTTGTTTCCACTACACAGATACAGGCGTGGCACACAGAGGTTCACTCTGTGAGGACAATTTCTTGAATGAATGAACAAGCTCCCTGTGCATCCACTCTGAGATAAGTTAGAGTCAGTCTCTGCCTCACTCTCATGTTCTTTGAGCTCACAGAAGGTACCACAGGCTTCCAGTGGTTCATCCAACTGGCTTTTCTAAACCTGAGCAGCACATTGAAGACGAAGACAAATGACCTGTGTCCCTTAAGCAGGCACTTCAGCTGAGATTCTTTGAATAATGCCCGGCCAAGACTGTGCTGAAAAAATCAGGAGCACCCAGGATAAGTAGTTTTAACTCCCAAGGATGCCTTCCCCTTCTAATTAACTATGTTTCCATCTATTTCATCATTTACGATTGAAGAGCTCTGGCATTGGTGTCAGACAGACATAGGTTGGATTCCCTGTCTCACCACTCATTAGCTATGTGATTTTGGAGCAATATGTCTTGCCCCTCTGAGCCTCAATTCTTTCATCTGTAAAATGGGAATCTGAATAACTATATCACAGTGCTATTGTGAGGTTGAAGTGCATTGAGATACCTAAGATATTTGAAAGAGTATCAAGTGTACAGGCCATAATGTTTGTGTTGTCTTGTCTTTCACAATAAGAAATAATTATTTCATTGTGATAGGATGTTAAAATAGAAATTTTCCCAAGACACATTTAAAAGGGAGGTACTAGATAAAATGTACATGATAAATTCAAAGAGTGTAGTGGTTCTTATTCACTACCTGATCCACTAAGTTCATTTCTATTATAAGAATACTAGAGATATACTTCACAGGATGCAAAGAAAATGTGCAAATGACGGCTGGACTGTGCTGACTCTTGGTAGAGTGTAGAAAAATGATAGAAGGAGTAGATTACAGACCCAGATTTCACACCGAGCCTAGGCAGCCGGCAAGAGAAAGGTGTGAGGTATGATTCATGACACAATGCTTCCTGCCACAATGCTGAAAACCCATTTTCAACAGACTGTGGGCATAGCATCCACAATGTCCCCTCCTAACCCCAAAATTGGACTCTCAGATGCTGCCTGAGGCCGAAAGAGGCCCTTGATCAATTCTTCCTCTTAGCGCGGGTCTCTTAAATACTCAGCATTACAAGTCTTGTAAAGAGCATTCCCTCAGAAGCTGTGAAATAGAAACTTTCAA